AGCGACTATAGTGGTGCAAGCAGGGGTGACCGGCGCTGTGGAGGTACATGGCAGTGGGTGCTTTTCGAGCATGTTTTGGGGGTTGAGGCAGCCACACTGGTGATGGTACATAGGGGGTGAGGGCACGAAGAACCGTGGGGAGAGGCCGGACTGCGTGAGATGGATATGTTAGGTCCCAGGTGGCTGAGTCGTCAGCTAGGTGGGTCGGGAAGTGTGGGCAAACGAGCCTGGGGTCAGGGAGAGGGCAGCGCAGGAGGTGCACATTGGAGCATCATCAGCATCTAAATGGCAGTCCTGGGGCTGGACGCAACCACCGCAACCACCTGAGTTTAGATACAGCAGAAGAGGGATCCCAGGACCGAAGCTGCATTTCCTGATCTCAGCTTCATGAGCATGTTGTGCCTGAGAATTCTCTGCTGCGGGGCTGTCTCATACATTGCACGGTGTTTAGCAGCATTTTTGGCTTCTACCTGCTAGATGCTGGTAGCAACCCCCCTTTCTCTTTTGTGACAGTCAAAGGTGTCTCCAGACATTGCCAAATGTCTCTTGTGGGGGGACGGGGATCACTCTCAGTAAGAGCCACTGATTTAGAATTTGGGAGAAGGAGGCTGAGGGAGTGGCCTTCGAGGAAGGAGCAGAGACTTGAGAGCGCTCCACGGGAAGGGAGCGGGTCCGCTGTGTCAAGTGCTGCAGGGAAACCAAGAGGAGGACACAGAAATAAGCCTGGCACTTGGTGACGTGGAGTCACGCATGACCCACCAGGAGTGGGCTCAGTGGAGGGCGGGTTCCAGACACCCAATCGAGGGCTAAGGAGAGAATGTGAGGACTCAGTGCCCGGAGGCTGATGGTTGGAGAAGGTGGCTGTGAGGGGCAGCAGAGTGGGTGGCAGCTGCAGGGGGCAGAGAGGGCTAAGGAGCAGGGCTGCCCCTGTGGAAGCGGAGGCAGTGACGATGGGAGATGGGATAACTGAAAGAGAAGAGTCCTGGGTGAGATGGAGGACTGGGCTGCAGGGCCCGAGCAGCGTGAGCTCAGATGCAGGTGGGCGTGGGGGGTGAGCTCCTGCCTGCCGGCTCCCATTTTCTCCTAAGTATCAGGCAAATCACAGTGTGGGGTGTGGGGGAGAGGCTGGGAAGTTCAAGAGGAGAGGGAGGGGTGCTGATTTTTAACGAGCCAGCATACGAAGAACGTTTGGAGATCTGCGGTCATAAATTTAAAACGACGTAGTTGATGCGGTGAGGGTTTTGCTCCGGAAAAAGCAGCTGCTTGGTCAAAGGCAGGCAGTGGGTGGATGATTTAGGTTTGACCAGGGCTGGGGTTTTGCCAGGTGAGTTATGACAGAAGACAACTAATGTTACAGAGGGCATGACCCAAGGGTCTGGGAAATGGGGCAGCTGGATCATATAGGATGGTCTGGGGATAAGGATGCCAGCGACTGGAAAGCTGGGGTGTGAAGCCCACCGGGGGATCAGTCCTGGCAGGCCCTTTAGGGAGGGAGGGCAGCACGGTGAGCTGTTTGAGCCCTGGCCCAGGAGACCTGGTGCTACCACCTCACCCCTCAGGCCTGAAGAAGTGGCTCCAGGGCTTTCAGCTAAGATGTCACAACTCTTGCTAGGCTCTCCCAGCCAGGCATGGGACAATTGTCTTACCCTTCTTTGGAAAAGACGGTGGGGCAGGAATGGAGGGCTGGGGCCTGGCACTGTGTCCTGCTGCCTGGGAATGCTCCAGGCAGCTCCTGCTGCTGGCTGTTGAAGGTCTGGGCCTGAACTCTGCCAGTGCTGGTGAAGTGGGATGACAGTGGAAGGTCAGAACTAGTTTGGGAAGAGCTGAAGGAAGTCCTGCTGGGCCAGGTGGGCTCTAACTCCTGCACCTGGAAGCCTCGTGGGGCTGGGTGGAGCAGGCAAAGGGGTGTGTGTGTTGGGGGGAGATAGAGAGCAGCAGAGAGAAGCAGGAATCGAGTTATGTAATGGCCCCCACTACCCCCAGAGGCACCCATGCTGTGCTAGTCCAGGGGTTGGGCTGGGAGGAGGCAACACACAGCCTGGGACAGCAGCACCCAGGGTGCCTGGGCAGCTCCTACCACCTGGAAGGCACACATGTCCCAGGTTCACCAGCCTGTAGACTGTTTTTGACTGTCCTCACCTGGGCTGGTGCCCAACCGGCCTGGCAAAGGATGCCTGGTAGAGCCTGGCATTTGGTAGACCTGGAACTGCCCTTTCAGAGAAGGCCCAGGCAAGCGTCCCTCAGTGGGGACTTGCAGAGTCGGGGTGGGGGTGGGGAATATGGGCAACCCTGGCCTTAAGTTTCTGCAGCATCCTGCAGGCCTGGCCCTTTAAGGAAAATGGGTCAGAAGACAAAAGTCTGATTTTGACTGCAGTGTCTAGGGAGATACCGCCTCCCAGCCTGGTTGGAGGTGGTAGAGAGGTAGTCCCTCCCAGTTCCCACTTGGGCATCCAGGGTGCTCAGACTCTGCAGGTCCTGGGGCAGGGAGCAATGGGAACAGGCAGGACCTTGACTAAGTGGCGCTTCCCAGGCTCCATGGGCCACCCTTGTGTCTTTCCTCAACAGAGGGACTGTTGGGGCCTCTACATTCCTGGTGACTGTGGGCCCAGGCCCTGCACAGCACAGCCCAGCGAATGGAAAGGATGCCTCCATAAAACCTGCCTGTAGGGTGGTTTGCTGTGGCTGAGTCCTGGAGGGGGAAAAAGGAGACTGGGTGCCCTCTCCCAACCTAGACTAGGCAGCACCCACACCCATCGGGCTGTGGGCACTCGCACCTAACTGGAGAGCTGGGTAGTCTGGCAGGATGGCAGGGACAGCCAGGATCAAGGAGGAACCTACCCCGAGACCCCCACATGGTTGGGGGGGGTAGCCTGGGGTACCGCCTGTCTAATCTTGGGTAGGGGTGAGACATTATGGGCACTGAGAGGTCACATGCCCTGCTCCCACGAAGGTGGGCAGGCAGGAGCAAAGGTCCGGTGGGCATGCTGGTTCAAGCCCTGCTTTTAGAGGTGTATGGATGCTTATTTACACAGGAGGACATGCAGAACTGTGCGCTGTAAACACAAGCCTGGATCTAGGCTGGGCTTATGGCATTAGGGGCTCTGGGAGCTGTGAAAAAAGCTCCCTTGAGGCTGTCCCGCCTGGCACTGGTGGCAGTGGCTGCAGGGAGAGTGGGAAGGAGGAGGGTGTCTGAGGGTGAGCAGTAGCTCAGCAGCTCTTTGAAGGAGGGAGGGCTTAGTCTAAATTTTCTTCCTACCCCAACTCCTCTTTCCGCTGCCACTCCAAGAGAGCTGCGGTGTGTATGTGGAGGATGGGGTCAACCCTTGCCCCAGGGGGCCCTACAGAGGCAAAGGGAAGCTCCTACTTCACGGCTGCCCCTGAGACCTGCTTTTTCTCTGAGCTGTGTGAAAAGACCCCAACCTTGGGCCAGCCCGTGGCTCACTTGGGAGAGTGCGGTGCTGACAACACCAAGTCAAGGGTTAAGATCCCCTTACCTGGGCCGGCCCATGGCTCACTCGGGAGAGTGCGGTGCTGATAACACCAAGGCCACGTGTTCGGATCCTATATAGGGATGGCCGGTTTGCTCACTGGCTGAGCGTGGTGCTGACAACACCAAGCCAAGGGTTAAGATCCCCTTACCGGTCATCTCGTCTCCTTGCTCTGCGCCAGGGGACGAACCTCCTCTTCCCATTGGTCAAGAGGCTGGAGTTCGCCACGCCCGCTACAAACCCTGCCTGTCAGTCGCTGCTGTCATTTGAGTCCAAGCCGGTTTCCCTTTTACCTCCTTGTCCCTTAGTGGAGGAAACTGAGGCAGCTGCCGGAGTAACAGGAAGGCTGAAGTCCCGGGTTCTGAGCACTCGCTTCCCGCCGGGGATGGGAATCTTTTCAGCGCCCCGGGCCGCGGAGAGGACGCGGGTCTCCGGCGGCCGCGGACTAGCTCGGCGTGCGGGCGGCAGCAGGGGGCGCTC